TGTTACTAAAAAATGCAAATATTTTTATATTTGGTCGTATGGATCGTACTAAATGAAATTCGAGCGATTTTCGTCGATTTGGTATGAGTGACGAAGAAAAGACAAAACACAGATGAGCGAGCAACGAAGTATCGTGATTCTGTTTTCGAAAATCGTCTGGTCGACGTGGCGCAAAACCGGCAGAACGTTTTACTTGGCTGGAACTCCGCTCTCGACTTTCATTGCGAACAAAAGAATTCATTTTCAGCATGTACAATGCCGCCGCTTATTATACACTTCGGTATTGTTCGAAATTTTTTCTATTTTTTCCTTTTTTTTGCATTCATTATTCGACCGTTTCGGCAGAAAATGAAGGTTGTTCACTCGATTTAGGCCGTCCAACGTCCTCACCGTTTCGCACCAACTTATTATTTATTGCGCGCACAAAATATTGCATAACACTTGGTGCATCGAAGAAAATGAATGAACTTGAATTGAAGTGAATAGCTTACTCGAAAAAAAAGTAAATTCCGCTTATACTCTAAACCTTCATATTTGAATAATTACCTAAATAATTTCGTTATTAAATTAAAATCGACTATTTTACTTTTAACAATGGCACACGTGAGTGTGAGCTCTCGTAAAAAAAAAGCAATTAAATCCTTTAATAAAATATCTTTGAAAAGAACACGTTTACACCTATACCTTTTTAATCATTCTTTTACACTTATATATTTTTACTGAAATAAATTGTTTCATTAATGACTATTAAAAAATTCAAATACATCAGTTTTCATAGAAAACGTAAATTTACGTAGAAAAATATCTTCTTGTAAATCTAAAAAAAAATGTTCTAAATCTAAATAAACTATATGGCTTTTGAATTTTTAACAAATTAATTTACATGGAAGTATATACTTCTATCCTAAGCGTGAAATTTATTCAAAATTTATTAAAAAGTTTGTGAAAGATATATCAGCAACAAAAACGGAAAATGCCACGTTATTACATGCTCGAAGGCGGAACCGCGAATGACAAACAGCAATGGCGGTCGAGATCCGTTGTTCCGACTTACTGAATGCAAAATTTCATTTCATGCTGTGGTTAAACGTGTATGCGTTTGCACGTGATATGAACCTAATTACCTAGTCGGACATGTGTCACGCGTGCATGTATACAAAAGAATGCAAATGCGGCGCATCTATTGATAACGAGAGCGAACGTACATCAGGAAGTAGTAATTAAGTGAGAGAATTATCTATGACGCATATTTTCGTCGCACCTTCCGCAATATCGTTGGGAAACTGAGCGAGTTGGTTGATATTTCTTGTTCTTTGTTCGTTCATTGTCTTATCGAAATTAACATATCGTCGATTGAACCAGTTTCACCTGAATAGATACTACGAAAAATATTTTCTAGAAAAATCATAAAAGAGTTACAAATTACTTTATAGTTGAAATGAAACAAAAAATGTTTAAATAATTTACTTGCCTCTTCGTATATATTTCGTATTTATGGAATACGTTGTATAAAAATAACGGGAAAAAAAAGGATAGTATAAGAAAATAAACTTCCAATGTCCACTTTTTACGTAAATGTAATAAAATACTTCGCTTCTCTCCAGAGATAACGTGATTTCTTTCATAGCGCCATTTCAAAAGTTTTAAAATGGCGTTGCTGGGTAGTCGTGTCACGTGGGAGACGTCAAAGATGGAATTATTAAGACTCGATATACCGTTCAAAATATAGGTTATAATTGGAAGTATAAAAAATATTACACCATTGGTGTAACTAAAAATTGTTTCCTATATTTTCAATGCTATTTTCGTATATTCAAATACTTACAAAAGAAGAAGGAATAACCGTGAAACGTTGACAAGAGCATCATTCAGATTCGACAAAAGGATGTTCAGTGAAGTGCAGCTAACATTAAGTTACAAGTGTTGCCGCGTATTTAACGGCAAGAAGCATTCCAGGGGAGTAGAAGAAGAAAGAGAGGGGCTGGGGAAAGGGGAGAGGGGGACTGATGGCAAAACGAGGCATCCACGACTCTACGGTGCATTCCTTCTCCTTTAGCCGTTGTGCTGCATATGAAGTAACGAAGTTCCGTGTGTATATACGCGGGTGGCGAGGGACGAGCATAAGGTAAACATAAAAACGCCGAAGTGGAACGGTAAGTAAATTCAGCGAACAGCGAGAAAGGAAAGGCTTCCCTCTTGGGAAACAACTTCGAGGCGGGAGTGAAAAAACGCGTTTCAACGTGCCTTTCGAGCCACGAGCCGCTGCATCATCGTTAGAAAGTAAACGAGGCGCCGGTTACTATAAAAGTGTTTTCTGATCCTCATGAATCGATCTTTGAATCCGAAGAATGCCCGATAGACGGTTAAATTGATAGGAATTGATCGAGATATCGAAACTATCATGATCGAGTATCGAGTGCAGAATCGACATTTGACACCTTATGAACTTTTAATCACTAGACTCTTTTGTAACTAAATGTCACATCAAGGTATAGTGTAAATTTTAGTAACTTTTTACGTAATTAGGAAAAGAACACTTGGAATTATTATAAAAAATCGATAATTACAATAGAAAGGCAATCGTCAACTTGTTAGATCAACATGGTCGATACATCGGTAACCATGACCAATAGTATGGAAAAAATATAACGATAACGGTAACTTTCCGACAAGGTGCATGTTTTATTATTACTTAATACTAGTACGACTGTTTCACAGTTTATCCAACTCGAATGTCCGACTTGAGGTTTCATTAATGGCTCACCTCGTTTAACTCTACTTTTCTTTATCGATGCCTTTGTACGCGTGTTACTACATTCAACTTTCTCATTGACAATCGTCTAAAATACATACACGTGCTTCGTTCTAAGTCGTCGACAGACGCTGCTTGCTAGTCGGCTGTATACGAAAAGAAAGATAACCAGAAAGACGGAGAGAAAAAATGTCTAGAAAAATATTCGCATTTAACGAAACGTTGAAAGGAAAGGGGAGATCGGGACTTTCCTATCCTGATCACCAACCACAAAACCGCAAAATGACTAAACAGAATAGTAAAAGTAGCAAAAAAGAAAAAAAGAGAAAAAGAGAAAAAAAAAAGAACGACACCCACCGTTCCTGGATACATCCAGCTCCACAAGATTTTCGAAGTTCTGGATATCCGGTGGCAAACGGTGAATTTCATTGTCACTCAAGCCGAGCTTTCGTAGCTTCTGAAGCCGAAAAAAATTCTGAAACAAGAAAAAACAGCAATAAGCGGTCATGTTTGAGGAGAAAAAACAATATTGACAATAAAAGCTACCCTATCAGCTATGTCGTGCGCGTTCTTCGTCGTTACATTATAGCCGATGGAATGATACGTCATGGACACAATAGAAAGAGGGGGAGAAAAAGAGAGAAGAGAGAGAGAGAGAGAGAGAGAGAGAGAGAGAGAGAGAGAGAGAGAGAAGAGGGAGAGAGAGAGACGAAAGAGGGGAGACGCAAAGAAAGAAAAAGAGATACGGTTATAAGACAGAAAGTTGGCATGTAGCGGTATTTGTCTACCTTCGGTAGATCACGAATGTGATTCGCGTCCAGCAGGAGCTCTTCCAAGCTTCTCGAATATCGTAAAATATCATCGGGGACGCACGGCAGAGAGCAATGACGCTTGTCAATGTATTCCACCTGCCTGTTACACCCTTTAAAAATCGGAATGCAGCGGAACATGGTATCCTTTTCACTATCAATCACGTTAAAACAGCACCGAACATAATTGTCCCGTTGCTTTACGGTGACACACGCTGCTATTTGCACATATTCGTGGATGGGATAGATTAAAAGAACTAGAAGGAAAACGAGCGGCACGACACACACTTTCACGCCCTACTCGGCTTTAAACGCGCTCTCGGCTTGTGCCTCGAAGTCTGACGTCATCACGTCTACGAACCACTGATCACGTTGCTCTAAAGCGACACACAACAGTGAACGAATACGACGCTTTGAAAAGACAGTTCCCCCACCATACTTCTTGGCATGAATTTACTGTATATATAGAAGGGAAATCTTAGATAAAATGTTTACTCTATTATAACGATAAATATAAAATTACCTATAAATTAGGAATTCTTTATCCGATACATAGTAATTAAACAATGAAATAAAAATACTAGTATATTAAAATTTATAAAATATCTTCTATTTCATTAAGGCTTGATTGCTACGGTAGATGTCGTTTCTGCAGCTTTTATAACCCGTGCTTAATTTAGACAATGTAATGTATTTTACTTATGCTACTAATTATGTTAATTATGAATATAATTATTTGTTTAATACACAGTATTGAAAATTATGTTTGAATAAATATATAGTAAAATATCATATATCAAAATAAAAAATTTTATTTTATTAATTCTGTTATTATTACAAAGTTAATTTTTTATAAATAGCAGGAATTGCATTCTCGAAAATGTTGTACAATATTTCTTAATGTTAATCTTTTTTTTAATTATTTGTAACATATTTCAACCATTACAGGATAGGTAATATGAATTCCATTTTATCGACTGTTTTTGTCTTAGTTTTCACGCTTCAACCACAAGAGTGCATTATCAAATAAAAAATAAAATTCGTTTTAATTCGTATTTCAAATTTGTAGAAGAATTAAAATATTTGATAATAAAATTTAAATTCATAAATATAATTCACGTTTTATTTTTACTGATTCCATTACAAAACAAATTATTTCCATTGATTAACCACCGTTACGCACTTGATTTTGACATATGTTATTTATTGGCAAGTAGGACATATGTATATGTATGTATATATATATGTATCTAATTACAAGCTTACTTGCATTATTTGGTAAGTTACCATTTTCGTACAGTTAATCTTCCAAATTGCATAATATTATTCAAATAATTAATTTTGTAAACAATTAATATTATTGATTTATTTGTCAATAATGTAAAATTAAATTTTTTTAATATTTTGTTACAGTTTCAACTCTAAATTTTTGAAACATACTTGTATCAAAATGAATATTTCATTAATATCAGAATATTTAGAAACATATCAAGGAAGAGATAAATTCTTGAGAACACTATCTTATATGACAAAATTTGCTATGTTGGGTGCATCTTCAAATGAAACAAAAAAAAAGTTACAAATTTTCAGTAGCCAACTGAGTGAATGTAGGGTAATTTTGAGATTATTAGATGACATGCCAATGATTCATTATGCTATGACATATGGATGGGGAAAACAGGTATATATATTAATGTAATATATTATATTTACAACGCAAAAGAAAATATTTTACGCCAATTGTATGTTTCACTTTGTATGTATGTATTAATATAATGTACAGATTTATACTATTCTTCTACAGGCATATAAATTTCATATGTCATCTAATAGGAGCCAGATTGGTTAATCAGATATGCAGAACTGATTCAAATTTCAGTAGATATTATATTTTGTCCAATAGAACACATTTCTTGGGCTGGTAACCATAAATTAATTCAGATCAATACTAAAGTATGGAATAATGTTTCAACCTGGTTCTGGATAATATCTTTGCACTTGTCATTATTAAAGTATGTTAAGAAGAACTTGGTTAAATGTCTTTATCTTTTCTTTAAAATTACTATTATATATATATATATATATATATGTTTTTTAGATCTTTACGAAAACTAAACAAATTCAGTAATTACAAAACGCTTCTTGATGAAACTAATGTTAGTACAAGGTAAATTTAAAGACAAAATAGAAGTATTCACACTAATTTAATTAATAAAATATTGTAATACTAATGATTTTTTTCTGTTTAGGAAAAATAAAGTAGCTCTGAAGACAATAGGCAAACAAAGATGGAGTGAATTATTAACTTGCATTAGATTAGTATTAGACATAAGTTATGCGGTTAATTATCTACCATCTGGTATATTGTGGGGAGGTCAATTAAAAACTTGGCAAGTTGGTGCACTTGGAACATTGTCTTCTTTGATTGGCTTGTATCAAGCTTTAAGCAAATAAGTAGAGTACACAAATTCATAATACTTATTGTCAAAGTGAAGAAGTAGAAATTATGTGTAATGTTATAATTATAATTGTAAATATATTTTTTATTCGGTTTTGCAATTTGTATAGAGAGTGGTGTATAATAAATGTAAAATAAATTATATTCTTAATATTTTAAGAATTGGAAGAAAATCAACCTTAACTATTCAATCTATATGTAATTTAAAGCATAATTATATATATTACAAAGCAGTACAATATTGTTAACATAATAAAGAACAATTTATTGTTTCTAATATATCAATTTTGTGTTACAAGGTATGTTTTAACAAGGATATATGCAATAGGAAAAAAGCTAAAGCAATATAAATTATTGACAGCTCAGATAAAGCTTATTTGATTTTAAGCTAATTGGTGTAATTATATACGTTTTCTATTGATTGAATTGTTTTTTACATTGTTCTCCTCGAATGTCAATAGATATAAATTATAAATGTAGATTCTATTATCAATAAAAGTGAAAGAATAGGAGGCACTTTCTGTATGAACATAAAAAAAATATTTTGCTACCTAGGGTACAATGAAATCATTGCCTCGCGAGTGGTTAAATCTCTTAAAATTGTTAAGAAAGCTTGACATTATGCGTACCAGTAGCAGTCTTGTTTCTTTAATAATAGATCACCCTGTATCGCGTGGTTATCAATGATTTAAAAATAATTTGTGTTTTCCACGTTAGAATAAAATCTATGGAGATTATATTAAAAGGCACGACTTATTAAAAGTTTGTAAATAAGATAATATTTCCGATAAAAGAGCATCTTTAAAATTTCTAACGGCTCATTATCTTTTAGCCTTTAATTCCTTAGTTTTTAGTCTAAGAGTTTTTGTCGTTCATCTGTTTAGAACCGTATTCAGGCATTAGCAAAAACTGATCTTCTTTACTAAAAACTTTATGGTTACATTCGAAGCTTTTGTAGAATATATATATATATATATATAATATTATAATATTAATATTATAATATATAATATTATATATACACACACACGTATATATATATATATATTGTATACTGTATATGTATATACACATGTATACATACATTATATATATATACATATATATATACACATATACACACACACACACACATACATATTATCTTGTATGTTGTATTAAAGCACTTCATAGGAGTATTTTACTTATGTATATAATAACCATGTTGTTTGATAATTGCATTTGATGTAACGCGATATATTTTTTTTTTTTTTGTATTTATTCCACTTTCATAAACCAAGCGAAATTTTAATGATTCAGAAATATGATAAATTCATTCTTCCCTTTAATATTTTTTAAGTAATTCAATAGTATAGCAGTATAACTTGCCGTTGATTATATGAATTTTAAATTATAAATCTTAAATTTATAATTTTTTTTTGGAACATTCACCATTAACAACATATGAACTACAGTTATTTGTAATATAGAATGTAATGAATCATAGTCACTGTATCACTAAAGACTAAATGTAAAATATTTGAGTGGCATCGTTGTATACTGCGTTTGTTTCGAACGTAGTTTTCTAAAAATTGTGATCATAGCTATTTATTCTTTCAGTGTAATTTAAATTTCAAATTTTAAGTTCCAAATTTTAAACTTCAATTTTGCTTCTGTCAGTATTTATTCGTTATAATTATTCCTAACTTTTGATAATTCTTTCCTCTCAATAACAAGAGTATTTGTAATTACTTATCATAAGGATAATTATATAATTATTTTAAATTAATTTAAATAAACTATTATAATTTAGATTAGTTTAAAAATAAATAACAAAGTTAAACAAATTAAATATAAATTAATATGATCAATATTGTTATAATGTGTACTATCAATTGATTTTTATCTTATGATTTTTCGTACTATCTATCAAATTTTCATGATGTAATAACATTTAATATCTAGCACTTTGCATAAGCACACATTTTTAAGGCCAAGGAGTTTGAAAAGGGCAGAAGGTTCACTTGGAAGAATAATTTGTTCAACGACAAAAAAAAAAAAGAACAAAATAATAAAACAGAAAAGGAGGAACGACAATGGAAGTCTATCTGCAAAAATATGATTTTTAATTCACTCAACAAAATGATATCAAAACATCAGAAACGCGATTAGAAGAAATACCACGAAATCTTGTTGAAAGAAAATACATAACATAATATCGTAACAAAAAATAAAAACAGAATCAATTCACTACAATCCGCTCCAGAATCGTAGACCATGTACTTCTCCATTTCGTCAACAGTTAAACAGTCCCTGTAAACGAAAGCTCACAAAGGCTTACCGCTTTGACTAAGAATATAAATTATGATTACAGTGGCCATTTTGGCAATACCCTTACACTGTACAATCTAACATAAAACTACAACGACGGGCAATATCATCGACAAATGTCGGTATACAGCCTGGGTTCTGATTAGTACTCAAATTAAATGCGTTCTTCGCAAAAAATAATAATTAAATTATTAATTCCTCCTGCCACTAGAATACCACAATAAACTAATCTCATCGAATAGTTTACGATTAAGCGTAATATTTCGCCGATAGATTATTACAGCGGCGCATTGTGTTTTTATGGATCTTTTAACATTATGAACTTAGTCCTTTTCTTTCTTTTTCATTCTCTTTAACAATCGAGTGGCTTCCCATTTTATCGTATAAAAATTATTGTCACTATAAAAGCCACAATTGGACCCACACGAATTCAATGTAAATGCACACTCGTAACGCATAATTACCGTATAATGTGATGTGTTACTCAATGGCACAATTATATTCTTCGCAATAAAACGATCAACAAGAGAACCAGTCCCTAAATAAACATACTAAATAAAAATACTGTTTGTTGAGAACGTGGTAGTGGCCGCGTTCGAAATAGGAACTTTATGTGAAACACGATTTTTATCCATTAATTAGTCTCTATACCGCGGACGTACGTGATAGTAACGATAATAAACAAATCGTTGCATTTGCCGATCAGCTGGTGTATCCGGTATTTTAATGTATATCGTCAAACCAGCTGCCCGCAGCTCTGCGATAAAAACTAAGTTTGCACCCTGTCAATAAGTCAGCTAGCGCAACGTCCGTGCAAAAACAAATAGTCAAAAAAAATTGAATGTATGACCACGAAAGAGAAACTCAATAATTGTACTTAAATTGTGGGATTATTCATTCCACGAGGCCAGGAATTTACGTTGGGTGATAATCCAACTACTTGATTTGTCTTGGAATTGCGCATTAAAGGCTTATGGTGCCACATTGATTCCATTGAATGTTGCCATTGCCAGCAACTGCGACAGAAATATCGGAAGCACACCTAAAAACAGGATAAAAATAATCAAATATTTTATATCTAAAATATGAAAGAAATTTATTTCATACCACTTCACGACAAAAATAAGGTCCTTGCTGTACAGAGCAACCGGAACACATAGAATCTTCTAAATACGGATCAACTTGAACCTATTGAAAACAATAAATTTAAATACCTTTATTTTTTTTTTAATATTTCATAAACATCATATAGAACCAGGCAAACCTTTTTTGTAAATTTGGCAGTTTTAATTTCTATGAAAGCAGCTGAAATTGCTTTCATATATGAATGTTTTGTACTAAACGTAACACGGCCAGATCCGATTGGATATTTGTGTTTATCAGTATCAATACCTAGAAATAAATTTTCAGTTTCGTAAGAAGTATCCCTTGGAAATTATCGATAAATAAATGTATCGATTTTTACCCGCATAAATAACCCCACGAAATAGATCATCCATAATTTTTGCTAAACCAGCAGCAGTCAGCATACCGTGAAGAGCACCGACAAATACTGTTTTATGGGGATCAAGCTTCTGCGATGAAGATTTTACATAATTACTATCTTCAAGAATCCAAGGTATCACTTGTACCTACGTTAAAATTATTTCAAAAAGGTTATAACTTTAAAAAAGATAATTTAAAAAAAATTAAATTACTAAATAAAACAATACGCAAAAACAAATTATTTTAAAAAACAAGTTATATTTACCTCTTTTGCTTTCATACGTTTAGATGATATTTTATAATACCAACTGCCACCATTGGTAAAATCATGTGTACAACATGCCAATAAAGTTTTTACCTTAAATAATGCATATTTGTTAAAAATGATTAAATTGAAAGAAGTTAAATACTATAAAATATTTAATTACCTGTTTTTCGGATTCAAAAATGATATATACATATCCTTTTGGTTGTGTCGCGGACTGATCTTTCCCTGGCCATTCCACTCGTATTTGACCGAACTGCTTGAAAGTTGCCATTAAAAGAGACTCGGTAATATCCCAAGGTACACCACCAAGGAATACCTTAGATGAGTAACCTGATGGTTTTTGTGTGCGTTGTGGCAATATGCCACTCCAAGTACAAGTTGGGTCACAAAGTGCTAAAATAATAATCTTTAATATTGCTAACATATTTTACACTTGATTACAACATTTTAGTAAATAAATTATTATATACCAGCAGCACTGCGATGAAAACGTGCTACACGTTCAAGTGAGATCTGTGGATCTAAAATATTTATTGGGGATGAATTCAGAGCCATCATATGATTTCCAGTGGAACAACAGTTTTTTTCATGTGACAGAAAAGAATTCAGAAAACCGCCAGTTTGATTTGATCCATAGTGATGACCGCGATTGTGTCCATGTGAATGATGATGGTGCGTCGACGATGAATTTTGATGAGGTGAAGATAAATATTTTTTCACTGCCATTCGTTGAAACGCGGCTGCTCTATTATTCGTACATAAATCCACTTCCGGTGACATCAACGAACCCAGAGACTGAGGGTAACATTCGTGTGACGATGAGTTTAACGATAAACAGTTCTAAAATGAAACAATTTCTTTCTCCCTAACTTTGATGAACTTAGATAATTATTGACTATAACTTAAAAAAAAAAAATACCATTATATCGGATAGAGACCCATCCACACTACTTATACCACTCGTGTCTGAGTCCGCTGGTGAGTTTGATCTTGATCCATTGCACCCCATCACATGAGGATATTCTAAGGTAGGACTACTGCAGTCGCTGATGTTAAACAAAAAAATAATAATAAATTATATATTAGTAATCATATAATTATACACAACTATACAGAATTTCTTAAGAAATACCTGTAAGGTGGTGACCCACGGATAGGTCTACCATAATAAGGAGAATGAATAGGCGACGTAGGTGAACCCACATGTTGCATAGATCCTCGACTCTTTGGCGATGATGCTGTCTGATTACTACTATTCGTAGATGAATACGAATAAGGGTTGGAGTAAAGACTTCCGGGGGTGCTAGGACTGCCAGGTGTCGTAATAGAACTTGGAGAACTTGGAACGTCTAAAATTGATGAGTTCGAGCAAATTCCACTTCTGTCATCTCCCTATATGCAATAACATACAACAATCAATCGATTAAAAACTCTTTCAACATACTTCAATCAGCATTTTCCTAAATTATAAATAAGATCCGGCAGAACATTTAGTTCGTTCAACAATAAGAAAAATTTCATAACATCTTCGACAAAGAAAAGCCTGTTACGCTATTATTGGATGACATTAAACATAATGTTGCGACATAAAAAATAGAAAAAAAAAACAGGGCAAGCGATTACAAGTTCACAGGAAAATTGAAGACAAAGAGAATAGTAAGCTCTGATAGAGCCGTTTGGCTCAAGCTTGTAAATTCTTGGCTACACTGGAATCCGGAACGCACTAACGCGCGCGGCTATGCGTAATTTATTTTGCCCAACGCATTATATGCCGGCTCTAATACGTGCATTTCGATGTCCTGCCGGTCCTTTATGTACAGATGCATCCAGCAAATGGTGAAGGTAATAACGTTAAAGGCGTCGAGAAGAGCCTGATAAAATGTCCATTAAAGTGTCTGGTCGACAAGGCATGACTTTCATATTGGTCTCTCTTGCTTTTACCCCTTTCGACCACGAATACTACCATTTAACACAGATCACAATAATATATTATTTATGTTATTTTACAAAGGAAATGTTACAAAGGAACTTGTTATTAATCGTTAATCTAATAATTGCTACTAATAATATCCTACAGGATAAACAAATTTTTACAAGGAAATACAAGATATACTGGTCTGTTAAAACATTTTTGATTCTTTCTATCGGCATTTTAGAAATGTCATGGTTAGAACAAAATCTTGTATTTTTATCGCCATACATTGCATTATCTCTATCCGTTATCATTATTTGCACTATACTAAATTGATATTAGGGATTCGTCGTAACAAATATATTGAAAATCAATACATCAGGTAGCCAGGAAGTCTCTATTGTAGAAAAAAAAAATTAACTGCACGATGGACGGAAAAGGAAGTTCGAGGAGCAGTTGGAGTCCCTCCAATGAGGATAATCATTGTTCCGGTTATTGCATTGGCAGCAAGCAGAGTTTCGGAATACTGCCTACTTCACCATTTAAAATTTTCACTATCGTGTTCAACATGTAACACTCGGGAATTGAAAAAATAATATTTTAATGGCAGCTATTTTTAAATTGGCACCGATATTATAGTTGTTTTAACATTGTTGGGACCAAAATTTTATTAATATATACTTACAAACATTTTCGGTAATGATATAAAAGCTACTTAAACTTATAAAGAATGTAACAGAATGTAATGACTTTATAAGAAAATTATAATTTATAATTCTTTATAATTTCTATTTTATTATACTACATGTCGCTTAATTTCTGTTTTGGAAATAACAAACACCGTCATATTTAATAAAACCGTTATAAATGTAAGAATAAACTAAGGAACTGACTTTGATAAGTATGACGTAAATAATGAAATTACCTGACCTAAATGAAACTGAACGTTTCATGTAAGGCAGGCGGTAGAAGCTTATGCATAATATGTAAAACGACAAAAAATGTCACCTGATAATGTTGAGAAGATCCTTGATTGCGACCCTGATACTGATAATTACGACAACCGGGAGACGCAGCTGTTGACTGGCTGCCTATCAATGATCCCCGGGGTAAACCCAGTCCAAATAAATCCGAAATTGACATGTCTCCTGTCGTGAGAAAAGAATATAAAATACGTTACAGCCTTAAATAAAAATTACAGAAAAATACGACAGCACCGCGAGGACTATCGGCTAACAAACGACTAGCGGGCACGCTCGTTAATTTTGAAACGACCAAGTAGGCACGACTAGAGAAAAAAAAAGAATGTAATTCATAAAATAAATATTGATTTTTTATGTGGATACAAAAATATTAATGCAATTATAAAGCGAAAAAGAAATCATTAACCCTTTCACTAATAACTGTGAAACAAATTAATTATAACGAAGTAAGGTCGCAATATTAAAATTGTTGATTTCATACTTATCTAATATTGCTCCATTTATTTATAATTACACTACTTGACCTGAACTTGAACATCAATCCACTATAATAAAAGGGTTAATAGATAATCCAGAAATCTATCTAAAACTTTAATTAACGTAATATACTATTATGTAAAAATTGAACTACGTAAAGAAACTTTTACCATCGATATTGTTGTTCTTATTAATTTGAGTGCAAGACGAATCGTGCGAATATCCCTGAAAGTTGGCCGCCGGTGAAGGATCTACTAGCAAATTGCCGATGTACTGCAACTGATGCAGATGTTCCCGTTCACTGTCCCGATCGCGTTGCTGTTGCAATTTGTCGCGATTCAACTGCTCCCGATCACGTTGTTGCAGCTGCATATGGTCCTGGTCGCGTGATGCTTGTAGTTGTAGACTATGCGATGTCTCATTATTCCAATCAGACACGTCCGATATCTTCACTCCGTCTACATCGCACGATAAATCTAGCTGCAGAGCACGAAAAGTCCAATCGTTAAAATATTTCAAATCGAAAACTCGAAATAATATGTTACACGTTTCTTGTAACGTGTTTGATCGCGTTTGGTAACATTTGATATCTCGATAACAAGTTACAATATTACAAAGTGATAATAGATAAACGAAATCACCATTTTCTCTTTTACAGAAGCGTCGATTAAATTATTTTGCAGTTTATGTTCCTTCTTTTCGGCTAAATAAGTAATCGTAAATGAATAATAAATTACAATTAATTTTTACAATGGCAATTAACTGTAGCGTGTATGTAAATAGACGCCGTAGAAAATATGGGTGCTACACGGAATATTTAACTCGGCAACATAAATTATATTATTATATTTAAATGTTAAAGAAAAATTGTAAAAATTTAATTCCGTTATTTTCTATCAACTTTACGATTGTCTAATCGTATAATTTTCATCAAACAGTATTTAAATTGATCGCCTCGTTTGTCACGCTAACCGATTTCCTTGCGCAATTTCCGGCAAAAGTGACGAAATTTTCGAACTTCCACGATTCCTTAGAAGATACACTACACGAAGAATTTAAATAATTTCAAACGTTAAAGTGTTTTGTTCGCGATTAAAAATTATGAAAATTAATGCGTATCACCTACCACTGAATTCCTCGAAGTCATCGCTACGAACGATATCAGCAAACTATGCTTCGAGCTTTCGGTACAGAATAACGAAAACAGGAGCCTGAAGGACGCCACTCCCATTTGCGTTCATGGAATTCGGAAAAAAAATTTTGCAGGGCCGGGAAGATATCGAGGCATTCTAGAGGTTCAACAAGAATTCCAAACTTCTTAGAATTCAACGCTGTCAAATTCAGACACACGAAACCTAAGAACGTTTATAATCGATGCAAATAATTATCATTTCATGTTACATTAGTCAAAGCTGTAACATTTTTGAGACCCTTAAGATTTTATAACCCTTTGATACTTCGAATTACTCGAAGATTGCATCAATATTGATAATTCTTACGAAAATCGTTAAATATGTGCCTGACGATATATTCGTATACGTATAGGTACCTAGTAGAAATAGGCGAAACCTAAATTTCAGTACATTTCAAGTTATAGATATGATACGAATTGAAAAATCGAATGAGATACCGTAAGGTCGTTATATAAGAACAAGAATACATTATGACATAAATTTTTTATACATTCAGTTTGCCACTTTTATAGAAAAAACCACGGTTTCAATCTATTTTCGTGATTCGTTGATGCCACCATCTGCAGCGACGTACACTTTGTTTTAATAGTCCTGTGCTATGTTTGCAAATAGTATCGTATATCTTCATAGAATTTATGAATATTACACAACTTTTTGGATAAATTAGGTGAAAACAAGTTCTTCTTTACCTTCACTTAATACTTTGAAAATGACTAACGAAGGGTTAAGGGCAATTTCAGGAGGCGCAACACACATACATATGTATATAGATTAAGGGTGAGACTACCAGCGTACGAAACGCAACGTGTTTTGCACGTGGACGCGTTGCGACTCAACGTACGATTCGCGTGTTTGTTTACAAGTGAGGACGCAGGACATTCCTTTGTATTTGGTTTTACATTCTAGTTCCTACGTTATAATCATCACTGTATACCGACATAATTTACACAGCAAATTTTCCTTTCAGAGCGACACCATAACGACACACTAACGAAATTCTAAAGTAGGTTACCAATCGACCGCATGAGAAGTCAAAAAACGAGGTCTATAGGAAAATAAGGCGTATTGAAACACTAGTATGGAAATATCGAGAAATAAATATTAAATAATATGAAAAAAGAATGTAAAATTTTTATACGGGAATAACAACTTACCAATTGCATTAATGTAAGCATGTCGATTTTTGATTGAGTCTTGACAAATTTTTCAATTGTTCTGATCGCTGTTCTCCACTGAATTCAACGTGTTAACTCGTAACGTGGTTCAATGAATTACAAACTTGATATTGTATAAATGTCTTCAATAAAGTTTTCTCGATTTAACGAATGCGAAGAATTAAATACGCGAATTTAATAAATTAGTTAATGAACAATTATCGTGTTACATTAAAAGTTTGGATTATTTGATCCCGCCGGGTTTTTAATTATTTGCCGGGGGATAATATTTTAATTATTTCAACTCCCAGAATCGCCCATTTATAATTAGTTCGTTGGTTCTTCGAAAGTAAAATTTATTTCTTCTTATGTTCGATTTAATGTCGATACAGAAACGATGGAGACGGAACGCCCATTCTTCTCCACATTGCTCCACTCTGCGAACTGAATTGAAGATCTGTTCCTCCCTTTCCCCCTTTCACAGCAGGTTCCATCTTTGGAAACTACCGGCGCAGTTCGCGAACGCGCCCTTGTGGAATTTCATGTTTGTGATAAAATACAAAATTGTATCGCTTGATGCGTATTATCTTAAATGAAATTTATATTATTAATAAATAATATATTAAATAAACAAAACAAATTTTTTAAATTCAGCTTAAAATGTTATTTATGACAAACCACATATTTTATTTAACTGTTTCTAGATTTAATATTATTTTTCCTTAAAATATTCAAATAAATTAAGTGTGGAAATATTAATTATTTAAACATACATCAATTCATCAAATTTTCATACAAAATCAATACAGTATATAATGAAGGAAGATTATTTGAACAAAAAAAGGAATGTTTGAAGCAAGACAATTGCTTTATTACATAGACAAATCTATTTATTATATAAAAAAATTTGCGCATTTTATTCTATATGAGCAGTTGACGAATCCAACATTTCAACTTCAGAACTAATATCACTAGAATAATTCACAACCACATCTCGTGGATTACGTTCTATTTTATCAGAAGTATTGTCATCAGTTTTACTAGAATCTTCTCCCCAGCCAGAAAATAAATTTACTCTTAATTTATCAATGTCTTGACTTCCTGACCCAGTTATATTATTTGCGTTTTCTGAAGATTCCGTATTATCTGCTTCTTGATTCTTATTTGCCGGATATTTGTACTTTGGAATATCAATTGGTGCATCTAAAAAATATTGTTTATAAACAGATACAATATACATTTATTGTAAGTCATACAAAATTTAATATTTTTATATGTATATACCGGGATATGGAGGAGATTCCTCGATAAGCTGTTCCATAACATATGTCAACATAGTTGTTGTAAAAGTATCATCTCTTCTTAGTCCAAGTGCTCGATGAAAAGCATCAACAGCTTCCTGCGTATTTCCCATCAATGCATGAATAAAACCCACTGCTGAATAAGTTGATGCATTTAATGGATTTAACATTAATGCCTGAAATCATTATAACATTTATGCAATGAATCATAACTAAAAGTGATACTGATATGTATTTTTATTTCGATCTAAATCTTTTAACCTGTTGATGATATTCTAAAGCCTCTCCATATTTCTTCATCTTTCTACAGGTATGACCCAAGTTATTTAGAAGTGCCTCCCATTTACTAGGTAGAATAACATCCTTTAGTCCACCTTGAATTTTTTTCATGGCTTCCTTAAACTGCTGTTCAGCAGTTTTGTAACTGTATTAGATGAAACGACAACTCTTGATAAATTAGGCAGAGATTTCCAAATACCGTAGAAGGGTGGAAGTACACTAATCACGTTGTAGAGTGAATTTTGAACCCCTCTTTTCTTTATTAGAGTAACTCAAACTCAGGGATAATACTAGAATAAATATCAAAATACTTACTCTAAATTGTAAAAAGATATAACTCCCATTTCATGTATAACAAATGGATCATTTGGTGCTATTCCTTGGGCCTGTTGGAAAAACTTGTCAGCCAATTTAAGATTATTTGTTAAGCCACATTCAAGTCCAATGTATAAAAGTGGCAAGTGACAACCTTTCATTAATTGAGAAGCCTTAAAATAAGCAGCCATTGCTTGATCATGTTCATTCTCTACTGCAAAAGAATGGCCATAAGCTAACCAGACAGGACCAAATAATCTATCCAATGCTGTAGCTTTTACTAAATATCTTCGTGCTGGATCACTTTTCCCTATTATCAAAATAGTACAATATTTCATAAGACAACAATTTTTTAAAATCTATATTATATAATTCCATTTAAAATTACCTATACTATAATAATAACATCCAACTGCAAACCATGATAAGGCCATATCTGGATATAAGTCAACTAACTTATGTGCCAAATAAAATAAAGCTGTAAAAACATGGTTAAATGATGTATAAAACTTTTAATTATATACATTTTACCTTTTATATTGCAATATAGTATATTTACCATTAGTCTTTTTTAGTTCTACTAAACAGGCAATATGTACTGGTAAACAAGAATTATGATATGGATCTTTCTTCAATATTCTAAAAGATATGACAAAGATTATAAAATTATATAAATTTACATTATATAAAAGCATATATTTATCTACAAATTACCTTTCTGTAAGAGAAAAACATTTGTGATAATCACAATTGTAATATAATCTTTCTGCTTCTGCAACTTCCATATCTAAATTACCTAATAATCTATCTGAAACAAGAACTCCCATAACACTACAAGTTGCAAGTGTTTGCTTTTTATTTGGTTCCTGATATTTTTTTAGTTTGCTCTCATATAATAACCGTAGAAGTTCTGCTTCAGCTTCTGTACATTGTTCACCGAAAGGAAGAGATTCCAAAAGTTCCTTTTCTATTAAAATTATATGTATCACAAGATTACTTATATTTATTTTCACACAATGTTTTTACACATAGACTTTTATACCTTCAGCAGCTGAAAGCATTTGATTCTGAACTAGTGCTTCAAAAGCTTGATATGAATATACATCACAATGTAGAGCTTGTTTGTAACAGTCAGTTGCTACTGATCTGTTATCCATAGCTTCATATAACCTTCCTTTCACATACAATATTGAACTTTGAACCTATCATAAAATACAATCTAATCTATAAAGTTTTATTAAATTATGAATAATATTATTTATACTTAATCACATTTTTTGGAGCATCTTCTAAAATGTCTGTACGATCTCCAAAACCTGATTGTGTTATGTTTGTACATATTTCTGATTCATTAATAACTTGTAACGCTTCATTATATTCCTTTGCTTCTAACAGACTTCTTACTGTTAAATAATGACACATCACATCTGTCTATAAAGTGGTATTAATGTAATTCAAAAAGATGGATGTAACATAATATTATTGTAAGTTTCATAATTAAAGTTTACCTTCTCTAGTCCACGACTTCTAATAAGATGAGCAGCTCTGTGATACTGTTTCATTAGATACATACAATGTGCTAAAGTACATATATCTTTAGGATCTTCATTACTTAATGAAACAACTTTATCTGCCCAAAATAAAGCAGCACTATATAGATGCTGTAAATGAATCAGTAGTTAGTTTTCCCTAATACTTTAAAATAATTCAACATCGTTTACAAAATATTTAAAACTTTACCAAATCAATATATGATTTAATTAATTTTCTATAATTATCTAAATCGATATTTTTATTGTCTAACAAATTATGCATTTTCTCACAGTCTGTATTAACACTTTGACGCGCCATGTTTAATTTAAATTTTAAGGGTTAGGTATTTCTTTTCTAAGAAATCAACATTTGTGTACTAAGATACTTTTTACTAATAAAGTATTACAAGTTACCCTTTTCATATAAAAGTACTTATTATTAAATTATTGTGTTCAAATTCAAATTTCATTGAACAAGAAAAATATAATTACAATGCAATATGCATGTGTCATTCATTGATGATTTCAAATATAATTTTTTCGATAATGTTATTGGTCAAAACATAGGGAAAATGCACGTGGCGCTGTGTAACAAAACATTATTTTGTTTCAAAAATGTTCCGTACGCAGCACTGTAGTTCGCAATCTAGAATTTCGAATCTTCTTTCCTCACTGCAAAAATCACAGACAGGGGTAGTAGAGTTAGAAGATGGCAAGAAACGAATGAATCGCGTGCTAATGCAAACGAAGCTAATCGAACATCATTCGCGACGACCGTGTAACTTTCGGTATTGTCGACGTCCTCGAAATTTCGGTGGCGATATATTATTTAACTTGACGATAATGTGAGAAGGCAGAGTAAAGCTCAAAGGGGGGTAAGAGTTCGGCGAACGGAACGGCCAAAAACTCTTGCAGGCGATGTCAAACATGCGGCGACGAATTTCGCAGGGAAGTCTACCAAACCGACGACGTATTTCGGCCAAGATTTGTCAGTGAAACTAGTGCCAATGAGTGTGAATATATGGCGGCGCGAGTACTTTTACTGAGCATCTTGTTTACAGAAGTGCTAAAGCCCGCTTGTGCCGCAGGTGCGTCTCCCTCCTCTCCTCCTATCTAATCTGTTTATATTCGCCAAAGTGATACATGCTGGACCACGCGCTAACGTCTTTTCTTTTGTATTCTTATCGAAGGTTGCAATCTCAATACTTTTTTTTATTGGACTATATATTATACAATTAAAATAAAAATTGAAATTCGAATGTTTAAATTCCAAGAAAAATAGTCATGTCTTCTAAATATTTTGTTTATTTTATTATGACATGCATGAATTGTTGTCAAACTAATGATATAAAACATTTAAATATTTATATTATGGAAATATAATTGAATTATGATACAGAAAATTTATTTTAGTCATTGAAAAATTTTGATTTGTATAATTGTACGAAAACATGCTTAGACAATTTAATGATCACATATAATAGCGATCTTTAATGTGATTTATAAGAAAATTGATAACTGTAAATTCATAGTAGTTTAAATAACATTTCATTTTTCATACTTTAGGTGTTAAAGAAATTGGAACTGGTTTACATAACAAAAATGTGTCAAAATCAGAAGGCTTCAATATTAGTCCAACCAAAGGTTCTGGTGTAACATTAGAAATTCAACCTAATGGTCATGTGATATTAGGGAGAAAAGGAATTACACTTACTTGTATAACTGGATCAAATCAAAATATTTCTTGGTTACACAATGGAGTGCCTGCACCACCATGTGGCATTGCACGTTGTACTCTTCTCAAAAATGGTTCTCTTCACTTACATAAGGTACATGTTGAAAATATAAGTAAATTGTTGCTTATCTTAGGATTGAATTAATTAATATGTCTATGTTATTATTATGACAGATGGTGCAGAAATTTAAAGAAAAAAATACTACTACAGTTAACTTTAAAGATTATTACAAAGATGAGTATCGTTGTATAATGCGTACTAATTTAGGACTTCTAAGATCATCTCCTACGTTTATTCATATAGCAGGTAAGTTTTCTATTTAATATTTTGTTATTAACCTAACTGATCTTATAAATGATGTTAAAATATACAATTATATGTATGTGTTTTAGAACTTGCCCATATATTTAAAGAGTCACCAGAAAATATAACTGCACAAGAAGGTGAAGTTGCAAGATTATCTTGCTTAATAGATAGTGTTCCTTTTCCTCCTAATATCACATGGCAGCGTAATGAAAAAATATTGTTGCCCAACCAGAGTAATTTAAAGTAAGTAACTTTTTAACAAAAATTAAGAATTAAATAATTTATTATATTAATTAAAATTTAATTTACAGTAGTAAGTATATAATGGTACCACCAGGTGTTCTGTATATAAAAGCAACGAAATTATCAGATGCTGGTTCATATAGGTATGCATATATACTGATATGTAATGATACATACATTTAATTATGTAAGTCATAAAGCAACTTGTAAGATTACAAAAAAGTGTGTAATTTATCATTTATATTCATAGATGCATAGTAAATAATGAATTCCTAAAAAAAACCAAAAAAAGTAAAGAAGCAAAATTAACTGTTATTTCACGATCAGAGGGTAATGGATCACATACACCACCATTGTTATTTCCACAAATTTTATACAATCATTGGTTGTTCAATGGATCAAATCTTAGTTTAGCATGTGCTGCATCTGGATATCCACCACCACTTATGATGTGGTCATTTATTCCTCGCTATACTGGTATTTTGCATATATATATATATATAAATAATTTTACATATATGATATTTATAGTACATAAATTTAATCTTGTACTATTTAATTGATTTTTAGATAATCACAATGCACAACCTCGCATTTTGCTTAATTCTAGTATTGGTATTAGTATATTGTCATTAGTAAATGTGAGTGCATCTGATGCAGGAGTCTATGTATGTTCTATAAAAAACTTCGTTACAAATAATGTGGAGATTCAAGTGAGTTATCAGGGAATATTGTTATGATTAGTTTTTAGTAATTTTAACAATACATTACAAAAATTATTTCAGAATGTAACAGTGGATATATTAATACCACCATCATTTGTAAAGATACCTACAAATCAAATATGTCCAAATGGGAGAACTGCAAGATTTGAATGTCAAGCACAAGGATTACCTGTGCCTAAAATATATTGGTTAAAAGATTCATTAAATATTACAATTAATGGTACAATATTTATATTCATATAAATGTGTACATAACGCGCGCACATGTATGATGCGCATGCTGTGTAAAACATCCATATATATATATATATATATAGATAAAAAATATAGATGTAGATATTTCATGTACAAATTGATCTTACAGGACGTAGGACTACATATATAAAAGAATCTAATAAAATGGAACTGGCAATATCGGCAACAGTTCCATCTGATTCTGGTATTTATCAATGTGTTGCTGTAAATTCGGCGGGAGAAATTTGGGCCGCAGGTCGGCTTCAAGTAAATACATCTCGTAATAGTCCTGCTGCACCTACCTCTTTAAAATGTCGTGCTCTGTCGCCCGTTAAAATTTTTATTTCCTGGGAACCACCAAAGTCTCTATCACATAGCAGTATTAAAGCTTATACCGTCCATTATAGTCCCGTAGGTAAGTTTTTTAAGCAACTTAATATACATAGAAATACCATATAGTAGTTAAATATTTCATAACATTTTTTACATGTTATATTCATAAAGAAGGAGGTAAAGAAGAAGTTTCTCCACCTGAACCGGGTAATTCTACATCAGTAGAAGTGACGAAGCTTCTTGAACCATATACTAATTATTCCTTCTACATACGAGTGTGGAACAATTATGGTCCGAGTGATCAATCAGCCACCATTTTGTGTTCTACAGCCCCAAGTGGTGCGTTATTTTTGTATGCCTTTCCTTTACACTTAACAGAATAGTATAAAAATTATAGCTTTTCTTTATTTTTTATTCAGTTCCTAAAGGTGCACCAAAAGTAAACTTGAATATACTTAGTAGTACAAAGTTAAATGTATCATGGGAGCCATTAACTAGAAAAGAGTCTCGTGGTGTTGTAGTACAATATAAATTACTGTATAGACTGCATGAACATCCATCTTCACGGGTTCTTCATTTACCTGCTGACGTGGAGTCCTATGTACTTTCTGGTACATGTATAATTTATTTTTACATAATTGTATTAATATATTTGAAAATAACAATTAATATATTTAAAGATTTAATACCTGGAGCACAATATGATCTACGAGTACTAGCCAGAACAAAACAAGGTTGGCCTAATATGAGCGAATCACAATTAGAGTGGACTACTGTAACTATGCCATCTGCTGAATCTAATCAATTTGTTATTAAAAATATAGTGGATGTACAAGTATTAATAGTAAATGCTTCAATTGTAAAGGTTAGTTTATAGGATTGTACTTATTATGTATTTTTCTTTTTAATGTTTGGAATATTATATATTTTTCTAAAACTTGTATTACATTTTACTGTCAGGTAAAATGGAAAATAAATGTTAAAGAAAATGACAGAATCGAATCGGAATTTGACTTTTGGCAAATTTATTGTGAAAATCAAAGTGGACATAAATTAGTAACTATTTTTTTACCACAAAATGTTACTGAATATGTATTTACTAATCTTGGTAATATCTTCTATCTCCAAAAATTATACATATATTCTGGATTTTAAAATGACTTATCTATTTCTTTGCTTAGATGTAAATGTTTCATATACAATGGGTTTATGTATGATAACTTCTGGTGAAACAACAGGTTGTTTAACGAAACAAATAGAGACTATTCAACCTGATACAAGTACGTACATTATAAGCATATAATTTATTATAATATAAATATAATAATTTTATTTATTGATCAGGTAATGTACCAATGACCTTGGAAGCAATTCCTGTTTCACCAACCTCTATAAATGTGACATGGTCTCTGAATGGTGTACATGAAGTAAATTCTTTCGAATTATGTTATCATGCAATTCATGTTGTAAATTCAGATAGTCCTAAGTGTTCTATATTGTACGTAATTTGAATTAGTTTTTCTTTCATTACAATTTAAATCAATTTTTCAGTACTATATGCTTTTAATATATTTTTTTCAGGAATGATACTAAGGCAAATATTGACAAACTCAAGCCATTTACACTATATCAGTTTAAAGTAAGGGCCATTCAAAATAATACAAACCAAAGCAATTTCTACAGTGAGTCTGTAGAATGTTATACGAATGAAGATAGTAAGTGTAAAAATTACATCAAATTTATTTTTAAATTTATATTAAATGAAATAGTAAATTAATAAATAATTTCAGTTCCTGGCAAGGTAGAAGAAGTACAATGGTTTTTAGTAAATAATACAAAAGTACGAATTGCATGGAAGGAACCAAGTAATATAAATGGTATAATACAAAATTACTTCGTTATATATACCATGGACTTAATGGATTCAGCTACAACGTGGAAAAATTTGACGGTACCTGGTAATAAAACTTCGACAACTTTACCTGGTTTAATTCCAGGAAAACGATATTTTGTTATGGTACAAGCTATGACAAAAGCTGGTTATGGTAAACCGTCAGATGCTATAATCATTATTACTGGTGGTAGTTCAACAAAAATACCAAATTCACCAGATGAACAAAAGCCACCGCAAAATACAAAACCCGATCAAAGTCTTGGTAAACATATTTACTTTAATTGTACAAAAAGTTAAAAAAAACTAAATTTAATTAAATAATTATTTTATATTTATTTATTTTTAGGTGTAATTCTTGGTGTAAGCATAAGTATTGGATTTATTACAATCTGCCTATGCAGTATATATTGTCGAAAAAAATGTGAAAATGCTCGTATTTTGAGAGATACAGCCCAATCTACAAAAGGCCGTACGTCGGTACGAAACGGAAATAGATGTTGCGTGGATCAATCTTCTACATCAGTGAGTCAACAGTTGAATACCAGAGTGACGCCTAACGAAATTGAACTTGCTGTTCTTTGTCCTACATCTCCAATCACAACTAATCCACACTTGGATACTAAAGTACATACACATATGTGTGATACATATAAACGTGTTCGAATAAATAGTTCTATATAAGAGTATATCATTACAGGGTGGAAAATCTAATGGAATTCTTGAATCTTGTGTAAAAGAGCCTTTATTACCATCATGGGAAATAAATGGTGAACCAAAAGATATTCATATAACAAAAAATTCTCAGGTACGAATTATTTTTCATTTCAGATAATATAAAATGATTACATAATTTACTAAAAATTGATAAGTAATACGTAAAATTAATACATGTTTTTAATACAATGAAATATAGTACAAAGCAGTGGACAGTGTTGACTTGAGCACACAAAAGCAAGAACAAGGGCCAGAACAAGATTTAGATGGAACACAGCTCACAGTGGTCAATTGTACTTTAGGCAGTAGCAGTAGCAGTTTAAATAATAATTTTGGTTGTCCAGATGGAGATACGTCCTTACCAAAATCGATGTGTATATCTGTTCCGGCACTTGGACCTAATGGATGAAAGCATTAGGCAATACAATTGCGTATTCACATTTTCCTCCTATGCTCACATGCAACAAGTAGGATGTAAAAGTTTTCATGCAACTTTAATCATTTGATTGGAAGATATGTATACATGCAAATGTACATACACACGTACACGTACACGTATGTTGAATTACGAGAAAAGAATTCTTACGGAAGTTCGAAACAATGCAAGTTACTATATTTTACAAGTTTAATATATAACTTGTGAATTAAAATACTAATGCATACATGATTAATGTAAATAATAGTGTTTTGAAAGTGCATTGAATCTGGACACTTCAACTATTACCTTGTATATAATGTTTCAAAGCAAGTTATTACTATTGACAACACAGTATTTCTGCGGTAGCAGTTCTATGAGGAATCTAGTAATATTTAGACTTCATTTTGTACGAAATAATACCGTGGCACAGATTCATCATGCAAATGATACTTAATAATATTCGTTAGGTAACTTGCTCATATATGTATTGAGGTGAGTGACATCTACTAAAAAGGAAAAGAGTATAAAATTGAAAATTAAGTAGATGAGATACAAAATTCTTGATGCACTTGAAAATAGGGTATCTGTGAATCATAAGTATGTTCATAAAATATCATATTTCAAATAATAGTGAAAAAGTAAATAATGCATTCCTTCACACTAGAAGACAAAATTGTTAAATATCCAAATTACGGGTATGGCCTAATCTATTTCACGATATGTATTGCTTTTAAAGAGAGCAATAGTATTGATCATTCCAAAATCTTAAGTTTTCCATTAACTAAATCTAAATTAACAAAAAAATATTCTTAGGTTCTAAGAAATTAAGAAAAGTACTAATCAGATTTTATGTATTAAAAGTATAGTCTAGAGTTTCCTTTTATTACAAATATTATTACAAATAATTATATATATATATATATGGCATTACAAATCTTGGCAAATATTTATTCTATCAAAAAATAAGATGTCAGACATTTTTTAAAGGAGTAATTGAAATATCTATATTAATTTAACAAAATCTTTTTTATACTTCAAGTTTGATAATTGTATTATACACTATTAAAACATATTAGAACAGGAAAAAATATGAAAATTTAGAAAAAAAACATTAAATTTTTGTAATAGATATAAAAAACCTGTAAAAAGTTTAAAGCATTTAAATTATTAATTTAATTATTGGAATTGTATAATATAATATATATTTTTTTTCCTGTTCATATAATAATGATAAATCTTATGTTGTACAAGATATTTAAAGTTAACTACATCATACAAAAGCAAAAAAATGAAAAATGCTAAAGAAAACTATAAACATATTCCAGACTGGTGCATGTTACCATGACAGAAAAACCCAACAAAGTACCTGATAGAATAAGCTATATCTTTTAGAGTGAGACGTAGATATGTCATGTTATTATTGTACCTCCATTAATTGTTATTTATTACATTTTACATTCAGTACTATTTTAAATGATCACATTACACTGAATTTATGCAATAATATAGTCACTACAAGCACAGTATGAAATCATATAAAAACAGAATTAATTCAATCTGCACATGCTAGAGATTTTACTATATATTTATTACACAGAGTTTTACATCTTTGTACAAGATAATTTGTTAAACATATAATTTAAAGTCATTCTCGAAAAATTATTTGCCTTACATTGAAATGATGTTGCTATTAATATAACTCATGATTTACCTATTTTTATGAAAACTCAGTACTAGTGGATTACTACAATATTTCACAAGATCTGATAACATTTTTATGAAAATAAGTAATTTCAATTGGAAACCATTTATGAATTTTGTTACATATTCTATGATCATGATTATTAGAATCTCAATTTCATGAATAGACTATTGTAATTATTTATTTTTTACAGTTTTAAAACAAATTAAATTTGTTATCAAACATTTCACAGATAGAATGCTTGTTTTGTGATTTTTATTTAAATGATTTGTTTTCCATTTGTTATCATATTTAACACGACCTGTTACATTTTATGTTACTGACATATAGTAGTATACTTTTATATTTGTTGAAGGTATTTGTTACTCTTCTTAGAGTTAAATAAAAAAATGAGAATTGATATAACAGTAGGCAACTAGTAACCGATCGCTCATGAATTCGTTTTTTTTTTCTGCACTAAAATTCTTGAAATATTTTTTGCACTGTATGTATATGTTAATTATTAAGCTTGTACAATTTTTTTTTAACATTAATTGAATTTTTAAAAAGATTGTAGAGAAAAAGGTATTATTTTTAAGAGAAAAAAGAAAGATAGATCAAAAGCATTAATTAAAAAAGAGATATAATAATTGATATGGCGACAAAATATTTGATGGCAAATATTATGCCTTCATTGCCTTAAAAAATTTGGTTTTATTGTATACAAATCTTAACCAATGTGTGTAGAATTTAAAATATTTTGATCATTTTACTTTTTAGCAGCATAATGTACTGTATTTGTTAAGCGCGATATTGTTTTTTTTTTTTGCTACGTATATAATTCTGTAAAAAAGAAATTTATTTGCGTTAATTTGTACCTTATATAAAAAGTTCCCAGTTTATAAGATAACATTCGCTAAATTTAAAATGAATTGAAACGTATTGGTGTTGAATTGGTATCATAATATCTTTGACTAATTGTGTGGATGTGATAAGTTTTAAACTTTGTAAAAAAAGAGAAAGCAAAAAATAAAGTCGCCGTGCTGTTATCTGAGCGTTTTATTAGCTTCAAAAGATAGATTATATACAGTAGATCAACCTGAATTGAAAAATTTTCCTATCCTATTGGATGGATAATCGTTTCCACAAATCAAAGTGAATAACTCTATACCATCAAAGTTATTTCGGAAATCATCAGTAATAGTTGTGTTCAACGCAATAATACAATGGTATAATAACGCATAAAAGCATTAGACAGCACGAATTTAGAATAATCATAATTTATGTCGTATAAGTGTGAAACAGCAATACATCTAGTGATGGGACCAGGTGCATGTATCATGTTTAACCATTTGAGTCTCAAATCCATTCAATCAAGACCCATTGGGAAAATTAGTAGGATTCAAACAGTTAACATATTACTCATGATCTCAGCTATTCTTTGTGCCTCAGAAATCTGTGGCTGAGGCTAGGATTGCCGGGAAAAGAAACCACAGATGGAAAGATAAGTTTATTTTCCTCCCATTAGAATAGTAGAGGGGGAATCATTGGAACTTTGAGACGTGTTGTCTAGTTGCCTAGTAACACAACACGATAATGCGAAGTCACGTGCAATGTGATAAATACCTAGCACTAATGACACCACATCATGTTATGACAGTAGCATCTATACATACGCCAGCTAGGTGTAGTTACTAAGATTTTATTGTTAATTTTAAATTTTGCTTACAGTCAGAGAACAAAACAAAAACAAAAGATTATTTGTGAGTGCTTTATTTCTTGTTCTTCTTTTAAACTTCCTCGGAGTTTCTTAACATCAAAACCATGGATTATTAAATAGTATTTAAGTATAAAGGATTAAACATTGTTATTTTTGAATTACATATAGGAAAAAACAGGTATTGTAAATATTACATTTAGAATATAACGATTTATATGAAAGAAAAAGATTGAAATTGAGGTTATTTTGATTACAAAGTTCTTAAAAATGTATTTGTTTGTCTTACAAATTATTATATATGTTGATTTAGAAATATCATAAACTATTTCTTTATTACATTATGCTAAACAATATTTCAGTTATGTGCAGAAAGTATTTCTTGTTACTTGACTTACTTTTCTCATTCATTCATAAATTTAATTTTTTATTATTTTATTCATATTTGTACCTTTTCTAAATGACAAAGAAAATAGATTTACTGGTAAATTGGATACAATGATATTAACTACACACAGACAAAATATAAATTATCTTGTACAGTGAACTGTTAGTCTATGCAGAGTAGGTATTTTATATTATTTTAACTCAGTACCTATTACACAGTACTATAATTTAGATTTATACAATGAAACTAAGGAAATTTATTCTCATGTGCAGTAAGTAGATACAGTCAACATATTTTATTTTATTTTATATAAGACAAGTAAAAAAAGGTATAGAATCAGTAAAAAATTAAAATTTATATTAATATCATCAATTATATCAATTATTATATATTAAGAAAATTTTGTTAATTTATTTTTTCATAAATTTGAATCATTTTTTTTTTATTGAAATCTACAAAATTAATTTATCACTATAATTATGCTGTTTTTTAGAGTGAGATTATATATATTATTTGCAGAAAATATTTAAAAGTATATATTTTAATATATTATGTATAGTAAATTTTATTAAATTGTAATCTTATTGTTTAAAGTATTAAAATATACACAGAATATTTAATGATATTATTGATCTTTCTGATCTTGTATTTTGTTGTAATTAATGACTGGAATAAAATTAACCACCCAATTCCTACCTTCAAAAAACCTTTGAATTTTTAAGTACAAAGGTACAAGAAAAACAATTAAATAAATGCATAAATGAGTAACTTTATTATCAAAGAATTAATAACAATTGCTTCAAAAGAGTAATACTATAATTTTATTTGGCAGTTATTGCCGTTTTATTATATTATTTTATGCAAATTTAGGTTTACTTAATATAATAAACTTATTAATTTTCTTGGGTTTGGCGTTTATCTTTTTTTTTTCTTTTTTTTTTAGAAATATTTTCTAGCTTAATATTATTTGTACTTGATTTAATACATTATATAATTTGAATATATCTAATATTCTGAATTAATATACCCACAAAACTATTTATTTGGAATAAAAAGATTTCTAAATTATGTGTCACAGCTTTTGGAAGATACATGTTAAGTGGAATGCAGTGGATACAAAAACACAAAATCCTTTGTACTTCTACAGATTTCGTTAATTATTTAACAGTTTTATTTATACTCCCAGTCTTGAAAAATTCAGTATAAAAAGCATTTTTGGCGATGTACATAATTCTCTAAAATATTTATCCAATTAACGTTATGTGCTATAATATGTCATATTTAGGCATGTAAATATCTAATTACACATTTGTTCTTTAATATTTTTCAACTTCAAGTTATTCTTATAACGTCGAAACTTGACTAGCAACCCTAAGGTGCAAAAATTTTATACTTCAAACTATAGTAAAATTAAGTACATTAATTCCTAGTTTATCACATTTGCAATAGGCTTATACATGAAATCTTCATATTCCATCTGTACTTTTTATAAACTTTACTAACAATATCTGTTAGCAGGTAAAATACGAGTAAGGTATGTAACATACAATAGAGTATGCAACTTGCATAGATTACTAGGCACAAGGTGAAACGCTCCAAAAGTTATTTTATATAAATCATTGTAAGCTTCTCCATTATTTGATCGTGGCAGTCTGTATTGCTAAAATTTATAGTACCAAGGAATGTGGAAATATCTTCATGTTTACATAATCATCAAGAACCTACAAATAAATAATTCAAATAATATTTTTTAGCAGAAAATGTACTATTCTTCTAACCATTTAAATAAATGCTTACCTCTTTCAAAGCATCTTTTGTAAGTTTTGGGTATAGGTAAGTAAATCCACTACTTGATAATTTTCCTGCCTGTAGATACAAATGTTTATTATAAAGAAGTTCTTGATCTATGTATGGAGACAAAGGACTATTTTCTACTCCATCTTTATTGCAAGCTTCTGCCCAAGGTCCCATATGTTTGTCATTTACTTCTTCAACAACAGAACTCATATCTGTCTAGAATACATAACAAAAATAAATTTTAAATCTACATTAGTAGATGTAGAGCAGGCAGATAGAGATGAAAATAAATATGTGATACGTGCATATGCATGTTTATACGTATACACGTTTAAAATTATATAAACTTCCAGAATAAAGTACATAACAAAATTAATATAATAAATTTTCTTTCATACTTTAGCTAGCGTGGATAATGCTGTACCCCAATAATCATGATTGATATTAAATAATTCTGAAACTATAGCACTGATTGATCCTTGAGTTGAATCACCTTCATCAACAACATTGTATGTTTGACCCAAAGTGTCTGGCCTATTTACTACATGCCAAATAGCTCTGGATACATCCCTTACATGAACTGTATTCATATGAAGATCTGGTCCCCAAAGTAACTTCATCATTTCTCCTAAATGTTTATACACAGCTCCTACCACTAAACGTGGTGCTATAAAAGAACAATTTTTATATTTAAAACATTTTAAAAAATTATTTTTTCATTTCTAATTAATAAACAGATTATTACCTAATCCATTTCTATCACCACAACCATATACAATAGCTGGTCTAAGTATTGTATAATTTAAACTTGGTATGTTTTTTAAATCATTCTCTACTTGCAACTTATATTTTGCAACAAATGTCCATGGTTCTCCGGTATCTTCTTCTTTGAGGGGATTCTAAGGAAATATTCAAGCTTATTAATCATCATATAAGTTATTAAATATAAAAATATTATAGTTTACATACTTTCTCAGAAGTACTAAAATTTCCAGAAGATATTTCTACATAACGATCAACTTGTAATTCTGCAGCATGATGAGCACAATTCATACTCAACTTATAAATTCCTTCTTTATATACAGGATCTGTTTGACCACTTTTTGTTTCTCCGGCACAGTTGATTACAAAATCAATTGAAGTATCAGATAAAAATGCATTTTGACAAGATACTAGAAACAAAAAATTCAAAATCTAACCATAATTAAGAATAATAAATGATCAACAAACTAATTATTATTGTAATTATTTTATCAAAAATATTATATAAGCACTCTTGTAAATATTAAAATTACCTGCATTGATTAAATTAGCACTTTTAAATTCGAGTAAAGGATGCTCGAATAATTGCTGATGTTTAGCATTTAACCAAGCAGTTTGCGGCGGTACTTTATCAACGACACGTATAAAAGATACAAGATCGTTATCCAGTAGATATTCCACGAGATTACGTCCTATGAAACCGCATCCTGTTTCAATGATAAAACTTCTTTTCAGACCTGTTGTTTATCACTTCCGTTATATACGAGCATACAAAATGAAATATGCTTACCTCCCAAAATTATTACTTTTGGTTTTCTATCAGAACCAGACGTTGCCATTATTTATTGTCATTTAAATCTGGGCCGTTATTTCGGAATGTTTCGTATAGTTTTAATCAAGAAAAATGTTAAGCGTTATGACACTTTATGAAAAGACTTCAGTTGCGATATGGTTATCGTATCACTGTACCACCCTATACCTAACCTCAAAAATTTACCGCAAATAAATGTGTTACCACAGATTTATACGAATGTCGCTTGTCAGAATCATCGATGCTGAATATAATTTTTGACTGCCTTAAGTTAGATGAAGACAGAATCATGAGGTACCGTTCACTGATGATTCTCGGGTGCAATTTAAATGCATTCCAAATCGCATATCAGTCACTAACAAACAAAGTATAAAGAGCAACTACTGAGAAACGATGTTACGATTGATCGATATAGTTAGTCGAGTTTTAAAGCTGATGAGAATACAGTAGATAAAGACACCCTTCTATCTTACTAACTAAGACCAAAGAATAGAATGATCATTATAAATATCATGTAGCAATTGTTATAAATTTTAAAACAAATTTTGTAATACTACGCTATTTTTTATACGTATATTAAAATTATTGTTTTAATTATAACTTAGAAGTTTGTAGAGCATATGTGCTTTGCTTTTTATTTTTTCTTACTGCTTCATTCATATAAAAAAAATGTGGAAATATGTAATTATTTTATAGCATTATTAAGTTTTATTCTAGATAATAGAGAAAACATGTGGTAAATTGCAAATGCACCCATCAACTTTTTCTTAACGTCGTTCTATCGCGATCCATTAGTTCATGATCCACTTACCCGTGCGACTGGCATGTAGCTTTACAACTTCATAAGTTTAGTTGTTCTTTATCAATTTTTTCGAAGCATATCATATTCAAAGTGTGCTCGTGTCCATTAAATTTAATCATTTGTTCTCCAATGTAACTATAGTACTTCTAAAGTGATTAAAATCCTAGTGTTTTAGTGGTAAAAAAATGACATAAATCCATGGTGTGCGTGTTCCGACATAAACGTGGGAGAGGAGAGGAAAAGAGATGTGTTGGTGGATGAATTACTACAATTTGCTTAATAGCTAATAGACTCAATTTCTTTTCATTTTTAATTTGTCGTGACTTTGATCTCTTCGGCAAACATGCAGTTGTGAAATCATATTTGAGAAATTGACACACGATGGTGTGGATTACGTAGAAATAACCCAGATGTGACGGCTAAGCGCGAATCCCGGACCTTGCGCACCAAAGTCCGGCGCTCTAGCCACATCGTGAATACCGTGCGTCTAGACTTTAAATTTCTGGTATGCTTTTACGATCCATTCACGATGTCCGCATATGCGACGATACTGCCATATCTCATCCTAGGATTGTTAGGTAATTGTATGTTCCATTATCTTCCGTTTGACAGTTGCATCCGCAACTTAAAATACACACTGTCGTGAGATTTTCTAGGAATTATAATATCATTTTGCTATCAAATGTATTTCGAACTGTTACTAAATTTTATACATTTTATAGACCAATATTATATTCTATGTTTATAAACGTACTTTATTGCTCTTTATACATTTAATTAAATGACAAGTATGCAATTCAAATTTTTATTTTTATTTTTTATTCTTATATAAAATATACACAGTTTTATTTAAATATAAGGAATGTCCTTGGCCTTTCACCAAATTTATGTGAAATGTTATCAATATTAGTTTCTGTAACTATCAGTGATTCTTAATATTACACAAACTGCAAATGTTTTCCAATGCTACAAATACTAAAAATGTATTTAAAATAAATGTAATTTCTAGGACCTACATTAGGACATGATGTCAAAGGTTCTTCAGTTTGTGAATTTTATAATGAAACAATGTGTACAGAATCCCAGCAAGAATGCTCAGGGAGAGAAGAATGTGGGCCACATGACCCAGGAAAAAGAAATCATTGTTATGTATTGTGGCAAATTCACAATGTAACTAAGAAATCTATAGTTAAGTTAAAGGTGCAAAAGTGTTATACATTTTATGTTATTGTTTTGTGTTTTTGTTTTATATTATTTACTTTTAATTTGTTTATTTCATTCTTAAAAAGTTATTCTTATGATTAAATTATAAATTTCAGGGATGTTTTTTAGATAGTAATGATTGCTATGATAGACCACATTGTATTGAAAACAGTGCAGAAGGAAAGAAGGAATTATTTTTTTGTTGTTGTGAAGGTAACATGTGCAACCAGAATTTCTCATGGGATCCACATCCAACTTCTTCTTCTAAACCTATTCAACCTTCTGTTATTCATGGTGAGTACTTAATTTAAAAAATAAATTATCATTATATTAATTAAAACGTTATTGATTATAATTGTTTTAGAATCAGAACCTGTTCCAAACACAGAGCAACAAACAATAACTCTTGTTTTGTCAATCTCAATACCCATGCTCCTACTTGCAATTATTTTACCATTCTTATATTGGTGTTACCGACGTCGGAAGTCGGGATATTTCAACGAGGTTTGGAAGGCATATGTACAGATCTCTTAATTACTAAATGTTATAAATCTTTTGTTTACATACTATACTATAAAATATCTTCATTGTATATGTGTCACATAAAATAATTTTTGTAGGTACCAACGCTAGAACCTCTTCCACTACCACAACCATCTCCTAATTTAGGATTGCGTCCAATACAATTGCTTGAAATAAAAGCTCGAGGTCGTTTTGGAGCTGTTTGGAAAGCACAATTGAAAAACGAAATTGTTGCTGTTAAAGTGTTTCCAATACAGGATAAGCAATCCTGGCAAACTGAACAAGAAATTTTCAAGCTTGCCCACATGGATCATGAAGATATATTACGTTTTATAGGTGTTGAAAAGAGAGGTGATAATTTACAAGCTGAATTTTGGTTAATTACTGCATACCATGAGAAAGGTTCATTATGTGACTATTTGAAAGCAAATGTTGTTACATGGCCTGAGATGTGTAGAATAGCAGAATCTATGGCAAGGTAATATTTTAATACAAATTCAAAAAATATATATTCTTTTTTTAATGAGAATTTTAATTTATTAGGGGCTTAATGCACTTACATGAAGAAATTCCAGCCAATAAAGCAGATGGGTATAAACCTGCTGTAGCTCATAGAGATTTTAAGTCAAAAAATGTTTTGCTTAAGACTGATATGAGTGCTTGTATAGCAGATTTTGGTTTAGCGTTGATATTTCATCCTGGTAAACCTTGTGGAGATACCCATGGTCAGGTATGCATATTTTGTACATATATACATATTTACAATACAATATAATACATTTTTTGTTATTAATTGTTAGGTTGGAACAAGAAGATATATGGCTCCAGAAGTTTTAGAAGGAGCAATTAATTTTACAAGGGATTCATTTTTACGAATCGATATGTACGCATGTGGTCTGGTGCTTTGGGAGTTAGCTTCACGATGCACTGTACAAGATGTAAACTGTTATTTAAAAATATATTTTAATCTGTTAAATACTGCATTAATAATTAGTAATATTGCATTAGTAATTAGTAATACTGCATTAGTAAAGTCAGATTATATCTATTTTCTTTAGGGACCAATTGGAGAGTATAGATTACCATTTGAAGATGAAGTGGGTCTTCATCCCACTTTGGAAGACATGCAAGAAAGTGTCGTGCATAAAAAAGAGAGACCAATCATTCTAGAAACGTGGCGTAAACATCCCGTAAGTAAATTATAGTGTATTCAGTGTATGAAATATATGATTTTTATCAATTTTGTTATCATTATCTTAGGGACTACAATCAATTTGTGATACAATGGAAGAGTGTTGGGATCATGATGCTGAAGCTCGTCTTTCAGCTTCTTGTGTAATGGAAAGAGTTGCTACATTGAGTAGGACGCTTGTTTTAAATTCGTCGACATTAATACGAGTTGATAATACCAACGAGACTATTACCACTAAGGAATCTAGTATGTAGTTAATTTACGTGTATTATAGCTTTAGTTAAATTGCACAACCATTTTCTGTATCATAATTTTTACGCATACATCAATGAGGAATGTTAAAATATTGTATGCTATTTCATAATGATTATTTTTTACCTTCTGATTGTTTACTTTTTTTTTGTTTGTTTAATAAGCCTTTTATGTTTATAATAACGAAAATTTCATTAATAAAATTGTTTTTGTTAATTAGATAATAAAATTTTTTAATTTTAAATTAAAAAGAAATATTTTCACGAAAATAATTTTTTTTTAATTATTGATATTTATTAAATATAATTATTGTTTTTATGTAGTATTCATCTTTAGATTATTTGTATATAAATCATTTATATCATATAATTTTCTTTTTTCAGTTGCAGAAGATAAAATAATACAAATAGATCGATAAATTCTTTGCCGAGTTTTTTTTTTATTTATATTATACGTTTAAAATTAAGAATTTATTCTGAAAAAGAGCTTCATTATTTAAGGTTCCTAGATTTTTATTCTTGAAAATATTTACAATTCTCTTATAAATCTTAATTAATTGCAAGATATAATGCAAAATTGTCAAAATAATTTAATGTGTCAAATAATGAAATATGCGCTATTAGCTATTTTTAATTTAAGAAAGTTATATTCCTCATTGATGTTAGCGATCGTGCAGTGATTGTTCAGAAATAACAAACTGAATTAAACACTAAGGCAAGTGGATATTCAATGAATAATTTTTATCTGTAAAGTCTTACCATATGTGAATTGTTACAAAGATAACTCAACAATTTTATACAAAGTACCTGGTAGAAACAGTCAAGTTATCTGATTGGAAGCCATGAGGAATTCATTAGGATTTTTGCATGAAACAAATAAGCTACTTTGATTACTTTGCATTTTACAGCGTATATTTAAGGTGACTTATTTATTTTGCGAAATAAGATTTTTTCCATGACCTTTTTTGATTTTGGTCAAAAATTTTTAAAGTGAAGATTGATTCACTGAAAGTATATTGATATATATTTTAATTTACAGGCATACATAGATGTAACAAATTTAGTAACTTTCGTATTAATTCGAAGTATATAAAATGTACATTATAAAATATACATTGAACAATCAAAATTGATATCATTCATGGATTAAATTTTATTAAGCCAAGTAAATGTCTTCCTTATATATTTTATTTTCAACCGTCGTGATTTCGTTATAATAGCACACATCTATCTCAAGGAAAATGATTCTCTAATTATTACACACATGACCTAGCTTTGAAATAAGTCTTGCATCCAGTGTGTGCACAGTGGACATGTGAGGTCGTGAATACATAATATAATATATTATTTATATCTTAAAAATATTTAACAAAACGAAGCATCTTGTATGAA